AGAGTATGATGATTGCTGGTAATTTCTAACATACTTTAACCTGTTTTATCCTTTCTTTCTTTTGTATCACAACTTGAGAAATGATGAAGGTTAAACAACAGCATCATGAAGGTGTTAGGAAATTTTTTTTGGAATCTATATTTATTTGTGTATCAGGGTCAGACTTTCCTGCCAGACCTGCTTCAACCAAAACCTCTGGAGAAAATTAACTGTCTTATAAGTTAGGGTCAGCTTCTGCCAGACCTGCAACAAATCATCCAGGGACAAACATTGGAGAAGATATGAACCCTAAATGAACTTTCTTCCTGCCAACAGAAACCTGACTCATCACTGTTCAAGATCTCATGGCTTTATGGACCTATTTGTTGATCTGAAAACAAAGAACTGCATCTTTTATTTCCAGATCAAAAGGGGGGATTTATTGAGCCATATGCCATGATCATGGTTTTTGGACATTGGGAACCAGTGCCCATATTTCATCTTGACAGGATGACCGGAGAAGAACACGCAGCTTTGGTGAATAACAGCTGGGGGACTTCTGCAGCCCCCCCCGTTTCAGCCAAGGCCTCCAATTCAATTCAATTCAGTTTATTTATATAGCGCCAAATTCACAACACATGTCATCTCAAGGCCCTTTACAGTTCAACCAGATCATACAGTCAAATTGATACAAAGTTTTCTATCTAAGGAAAACCAGTTGATTGCATTGACTCATTGACTCAAATACAATCCCCCACACTAAGCATGCTTGTAGCGACAGTGGAGAGGAAAAACTCCCTTTTAACAGGAAGAAACCTCCAGCAGAACCAGGCTCAGTGTGAGCGGCCATCTGCCGAGGCCGACTGGGGTTCAAGGAGACAGAAGCAGAGATACAAAAAGCAGCTGTAAAAGGCGGCCCCGTCCAGGAAACACACAGCCAGGCAGACGAGCTCCAAGGCAGCTCCCATGCCAGAGGACGAAGAGAGCACATCCACTCAGTCACGGTCAGAGAAACAGGACCACACTGGAAAACAGGCCGATCTCCAACATCTATTAACAAGGGTGTTGATAGAAGCAGCACAGCTGATGTTTTTTTCCAGGATGACGTCACAGCCAAACAGGAACAGACGAGGCAAAGCTACTCTGAGGAAAAGCAGAGAGAGCAGAAGGTTAGAGATTGAACTAACAGATTCTGCAGAATAGGAGAACAGAGAGAGAATGAAGCAGAATGATGAAATGGGGGTCCCTATGTCCTCCAAAAGTCTAAGCCTATAGCAGCATAACTATAGAGATAGCTCAGGATAACCTGAGCCACCCTAACTATAAGCTTTATCAAAAATGAAAGTTTTAAGCCTAGCCTTAAAAGTAGACAGGGTGTCTGCCTCACGGACTAAAACTGGTAGTTGGTTCCACAGGAGAGGAGCCTGATAACTAAAAGATCTGCCTCCCATTCTACTTTTAGAAATTCTAGGAACCACTAGTAAACCTGCAGATTGAGAGCGAAGTGCTCTGTTAGGAACATAAGGAACAATCAGATCTCTGATATAAGATGGAGCTTGGCCATTTAAGGCTTTATATGTGAGAAGGAGGATTTTAAATTCTATTCTGGATTTAACAGGAAGCCAATGAAGAGAAGCCAGGATAGGAGAGATATGATCTCTCTTTTTCATTTTCATTAGAACTCTGGCTGCAGCATTTTGGATCAGCTGAAGGCTTTTAACTACAGTTTGTGGACTTCCTGATAGTAAAGAATTACAATAGTCCAGCCTTGAAGTAACAAATGCATGGACTAGTTTCTCAGCATCCCCCCTGGACAGGATATTTCTAATTTTTGCAATGTTCCTCAGATGAAAGAAGGAAATTCTAGAAACCTCTTTGATATGGGATTTAAATGACAGGTCCTGATCAAAAATAACACCAAGATTTTTTTTTTTTTACTTTATTATCTGAAATCAGTTTAATCCCATCCAAATGAAGTGACTGGCTAATCAGTTTCTTTTTCAGAGACTCTGGTCCAAAGACTATAACTTCTGTTTTGTCTGCATTCAGAAGCAGAAAATTAAGAGTCATCCAGGTTTTTATGTCTTCAAGACATGCCTGTAATCTATGTAATGGGTTAGCTTCATCTGGATTTATAGACAGATATAGCTGGGTATCATCAGCATAACAGTGGAAATTAATCCCATGCTGTCTAATAATTCTACCAATTGGGAGCATGTATAAAGTAAAGAGAATTGGTCCTAGCACTGATCCCTGTGGTACTCCACAGGTAACCTTTGAGCGTGTTGAAGATCTATCATTAACATGAACAAACTGAATTCGATCAGATAGATAAGATTTAAACCAGTCTAGTGCTGTTCCTTTAATTCCAACAAAATATTCAAGTCTTTCTAAAAGAGTATTATGGTCAACTGTATCAAATGCAGCACTAAGATCCAACAGGACGAGCACAGATACAAGTCCATTATCTGAGGCCATGAGAATATCATTAGTGACTTTCACCAGAGCTGTTTCAGTGCTATGATGAGCTCTAAAGCCAGACTGAAACTCTTCAAAAAGTTCATTATGGTGGAAGTGATCGCAAACTTGTTTGGCAACTACTTTCTCAAGAATTTTGGATAAGAAAGGAAGATTGGATATAGGTCTATAATTGACCAAGTCATCTGGGTCAAGAGACGGTTTCTTAAGCAGAGGTTTAATTACAGCAATCTTAAAAGCTTTAGGTACATATCCCTGTAACAGAGATAGATTAATCACATCTAAAATGGAGGAGGAGATCAAAGGGAATACCTCCTTAAATAACCTGGTTGGAACTGGATCTAACATACAAGTTGAAGGCTTAGATGAAGACAATAATTTTGCTAATTCAGAGAGTTCAACTGGATCAAAGCAGTCTAAACCCGGTTCAGATTCCATGACTACCTCAGGTACAATCGCGGATAGAGGAGTGCTTATGATCTTATTTTTTAATAAGATCAATCTTATTTATAAAGAATCCCATAAAATCATTGCTGCTAAGAGCAGGTGGAATGGACGGTTCAACAGAGCTATGGCTCTGGGTGAGTTTGGCAACTGTATTAAAAAGAAATCTAGGATTATTCTTATTCTCCTCTATTAATGAGGAGAAGTATGCTGCTCTTGCTTTACAAAGGGTCCTCTTATACAGCAGTAAACCATTTTTCCAGACTAGGAAGGACTCTCGCAGGCCTGTGGAGCGATATTTTCTCTCCAGTTTCCTAGCATTTTGCTTCAAAGTACGCAGCTCTGCATTAAACCAAGGAGCAAGCTTTCTATTTTTAACGGTTTTCATTTTCAAAGGAGCTGCGTTGTCTAAGGCAATACGCAGAGAACTAGCAACCCCCTCAACAAAATCATCAACCTGTGAAGGGGAATAAGCTAAGCTTTTGCACTCTGCAGCACTGCTCAGTGACACAGAGCAGAGAGAAAGTGAAGCAGATTCTTTAAAATTTATAACTGCACTATCTGATAAAGATCTACTAAAATTGAACCTTCTTTTGGGGGAGGAGAACTCTGTTAAAGTAATCCTGAAGGTTATTAGAAAGTGGTCAGAGAGGACAGGGTTGTGAGGAAATACTGTTATTTCTTCACATTCTATGCCGTATGTCAGCACAAGATCCAAAGTATGAAGATGAGAATGCGTGGGACTATTCACATTTTGAACAAAGCCAATAGTGTCTAAGATAGCATTAAAGGCTGCTCTTAAGCTATCGCCTTCAATGTCAGCATGGATGTTAAAATCTCCCACTATGATGACCCTGTCAGTATTTAATACCAAATCAGAAAGGAACTCTGAAAACTCATCTAAAAATTCAGAGTAAGGACCTGGTGGACGATACAAAGTTACAAAAAGAAGAGGTTTTCTTGCCTTGAAATTTGGATCAGGGAAATTAAGGGACAGGCAAGTCACAGAGGTGGGACCAACCAGCCCCCTCTCTGTGAGAACAGACAAAACCAAAGGGAAAACCAGATTCTCCCTCTCTTTGCCTCCTCTCCCTTGCCCATGAAGCTGGGCTTCGACCCGGACCTCCACTATGGTGGAGAACCAAGGCCCAAGGGGACCCAAATCTCCAGAATCAAGGATGGGTCATTCTGGTAATCTTTCACAACCAAACTACTTCAAGAAAGAGCTTTTGCAACACATTTCTCTTGAGTTTCAGAACTTATAGAGTCAGACTGGACGAGAAGGCCTACCCTGTCTTGATGAACGACTGAGACAAAGTAGACCCCGGCTGTGTGAGACTGAGACAAAGAACCCCTGGTTGTTGCTGCCCTGACTACTGAGCTGCAACTGGATGAAACTCAAGCCCTCCAATACATGGAAAAAAAAGGTTTGCAGGTCTGGCATGATTAGGGACAGATCAAACAACATGTGTTTACTGATGAGTAAAGACAAAGTTAACAGAATGGACTGCATATTACGCTATGCTACAGGAATATGTGTTGAGTTGTTGCTGAAGCTTGGACAAGCTTTATTTCACTAAGAGTTTAAACACTGATATAACATTAGTGTTCATGTGATCCTCATATCCCCATTACTATTTTCCATTACCAAGTATGACCAAGAGTCATTTAGCGGAATACTGATGTCTATTCGCTGCTAGCTATTTCAAAGGGGGTAAAGAATCCTTTAACTAAAGGTTATTAGTTCCTGATTGAGCAAATCATTTAATAAAAAAATATTTGGCCAAATAATGTTTTATTCACCTCATGCCATTGTGAAACATTCCAGTTTGGAAACATTCCAGTTTGGAAACATTCCAGTTTCTTTAAATTAATGAAAAGCTAATTTGATCATATCCCAAATTCTTCCAGATAAACTTTGGTTCCAAACTGTTCTTAAACTGTAATATGTTTTTCAACCATGTTCCTCTTCCTCTTTGTACAAAGTAGTTTAGTTTAGTTTAGTTGAAATTCACTAGTTGTAGTTGAGAGTGTTAAACTGAAATATGTTTGACTTTGAGCTGAATGATTTTTGTTAATAACCTTTTATCTTTTGAACAGAACTGCGATGTACTGTCCATGGTGTGCCCCGCCTCTCGCCCATTGACTGCTGAATATAGGCACCAACACCCCTCGCGACCCCACTCGGGATAAGCGTGCTAGAAAATGGATGGATTTTGAACAGAAGGCAGAACAAGCCAGTATCAGGTAATCAGTATACAGGTACGCTAGAATACTTCTCTGTCATGTTGGCTTTCAGGAATCTAACCCACATGCAGAACACTCAGAGGCTGGGAAAAAGTTCACAAGTTTATTGAAGCAATGATCACAAATAAAGTACACTGGTTCTGGGATAAACTGGGTCCGGGTCTGGTCACGACTGGTTTTCACTGCAGAGAGGTACAGATTAGTTAGCAGTCTTTCAGTGAATTTGCTGGTTGGGTGTTTACAGGTCTATACCTGATCAGAGATGAGCAGAGCGGTAGAAGGGGGGAACCAGGAGGGTCCAGAGACTGAAGGCAGGCAGAGGGCTAGGCAAAGGCAGGGCAGAGCAGATAATCTTACTGAGCAGGTTCAGAGCTTCTCTCTCAGCTCTTGCTGAGAGCGGGCAGGCAGGGTTCAGACTGAGTTGGATTTCCAGGGTTCTCCAGAGAACAGACAGCTTGGTTTTACACTTGAGGTTCGCTAAGCATAACTGGCAAACACTCTGGCGTCGGATTGTAGCTCTGCCCCTCCTTAAATGCTGGTTCCCTGATGAGCTCATGAGCCGCAGGTGTGGTGGTCACCTTCAGCCCCAGGATACCTAGAATGCCCTCTGCTGGAGAAAGGTGGACAGACCTCCAGATCCCAACATTCTCAAATAATTTGGCACCAATGACTGGTCTGAATTCTAGTTAAAGCTGCAGTCTGTAACATTGAGAAGAGAGCAGACTTCGACTGAAAATTTGAAGAAAAACAGGTTTCGCGCCACTCCCCCACCCTCTCTGCTTCACTCATGCCCCACCTCCAAGCCCCACCCCTCTCACAGCACCTGCGCGGCTACCGCATGCGACCACAAGCGTCCAAGCAGCGTACGCGGCATGGAGTGTGAACCGGTAAGAGCGATAACACTGACCTCCAAGCAGCTAGATATAAGATGCTGGTTATACCGAAGTTTGCCGTGTAAGTAGTTGTCGGCAGGGGCAGTAAGGGCAGTTTCTCTTTCACTGGTGGCTGTCGCTCCGCCATGACTTCCACGCGCGTCCTCCTGACTGCGGTAGCCGGGCGCTGCGGCAGGTTAAGGGGGGGGGGGATTGTGATTGACACTCCATCAGACGCTCCTCTGGCTGTGATTGGTTGTTTTGACTCGTCCCAAATTATTCTTTCCAGATTGAAATACAGGCAGTAGGCGGGACAAATAGAAGCAGTTTTTTTCACAGGTTACATATCACATGTACTGCTGTCTGGGCATAGGGACAGTTTTAGCCAATATGACAAAAAAGTGATTTTTAAAAACTTACAGACTTCAGCTTTAAATAGAGACTAAAGCAGCTGCAGCAGTGATAATGAGAGCTGGGAGAAGCTAAGAAGGTGTGTGAAATAAGTAATCAGACCAGGTATCTACGCCAAGATCATGACGTCGCAGTTATTACCAATATTGCTTACATTGAAAGATGAAATCCTTTCTTTCAAACATTCACCCAAAAAATTCAAAAAATATCCACTGGACTTGGTTTTCAAGATTTGAAGACGTTTCGCCACCTCTCCAGGAAGCTTTCTCAATTCAAATGTCTGGATTGAGAAAGCTTCCTGGAGAGGTGGCGAAACGTCTTCAAATCTTGAAAACCAAGTCCAGTGGATATTCTTTGAATTTTTACGGAATGACAATGACCTGGATGACTGAGAACCTTCATCAGCATATTCACCCAAAAATATTTTATTATCTCTACTTTATTATTTCTGACCTTTGAACCTTTAAATGATTGTCCCTCATCACCATTTTCAAGCAACCATGCAGTTTCATGTTACCCCCCCCCCTTAATTATATGCTAACTCAACCTGACCAGACTGTTTATCAAAAACCCCAGTCTTTTTTATTATATAGTTAAACATGGGTCATCATCATATTACTCATATCAATGTCATATCAGAAAACAATTTCAGTTAATTTCAAACCGAAAGTCATTTGCTACCTAAAGTTTTTTTAACCTATCAAAATCAATTTTGATTGATCTTAAAAGTGGAATTTACTCAATTTAAACAGAAGAAGCATAATTTCTTCCCTATGTCTGGTCTCAACACTTCAGTGCTTCTCAATCAAATTTTAGGATCCTTGTTAAACTGGGTGTGCACAGTTTTAGAGAGCAGAGGTTTTTTTGTTACTTTTAGACATTAAAATTAGTTTTACATACCCAATTGTTCTTCAGTGCCCCTTGCACGTCTGGATTTTCTGTTTTAGTTGACCGTAACTCAATCAAACTGAACAGGTCTTTAAAGCACCTCCAGAGCCCTCACTCAATCAGCCAACAAGTCCCCCTGCTAGCTGTGATTACACAAAAAAACATAAACACTGGCCAGTCAACCAACTCACATAAAATACACAGACAATTGCTCAATCCTGGGAATAGGTGGGTTTTTAAGGGATCTTTTACAAAAAGCGTAGAGCCCCTTCTCAACTCAATATTCCCCTTCGGCACACTTTTTTTCATTTTTCCTTAAGGGAGCAAAAACTCGAAAAGCACAAACCTAAAATTATCCAGAATCAACCATATTTCTCACCTTTTTTTGTTCCTTCTTAAGGAGCGAACTGGAAAAGCACAAACCTTCAATGTGCTGCATCCCTTCGGCTAACCTTTTTTCTTTTTTCCTTAAGGGACTGACAGGAAAAGCACAAACCTAAACTTAGCAGGAAGTTGTGCGTCTCTGTTTCAGGAAGACCTTTTTCGTGTCTGCAAGCAGACAGGGGAAAAAAAAGTTTCTTTTTTTTCTGCCTGCAGAAACGGTTGGGCTTTCCAGCCAACAACTCCCCTACTTCACAGTTATTTTGTAAAGGCTTGCATAGACCTTCTCAGACTTATAACTGTTATGCATACAGGTAATACATTTTCTTCTACATGTACGTGAGAAAGAAAAAATCCACTATGAGCAAGTTTTCTTCCTTCAAATGTATAAAAATCCTCTCACTTTAGATCCAACAACATAGCAAAAATGCTTCAGGGTCAAACACTGAACCCGGCGAACCCCAGGCCCAACAGGCTCGCCTCAAAGATTTACCATAAAGTAAACCACAAAAATATTGTGTGTCCGTGCAGTTTAAAACACAAACACATTTAAAATAAGGCTAGTACCTGACATTTTTTAGGAGGTCCTGAGGTACAGAGGTTAGCCAACTAAGGATGCCCCACCTGACAAGCGTTTGTTTTTCTCTATATTAAAACTCATAAAAACAGTAACTTCAAGTTATATATCCTAATAAAGGAAATATAGAAAAATACATGAATTATCAATAAAAAAACACCTTTTTTGGCTTTGGCTTTGCTTTATGGAACAGGGCGAGACTGCCTTTCCTTGGAAACAGTAATGAAGGGGATCCTCCCTTCAAGTGAAATGTCATGTTTAAATGTTCATCGCTTCAGAGCACAAGATTGTACCCTGACTTGTTTGTGCATTCCCAAAGCATGATAGTTTAGAGTTCCTTAAACTGTCGACTCCATCTCTATCTAAAGTGTGCAGCCAGTGTCCATTGAACATTTTCTCCATGAAAGGCGCTCCAATGTAGAAAAGACTGTTTTAACATTTTCACAACCAGAATATATTCTGTTTATGATAGTCTGCATATCTGGAACCCTGACCAGATCCAAAAATGCAGGATATGTTTTTATCTTATTAAGCTATCATTAGGGTGGCCAGATGTCCGGCTTTAGGCCGGACAGTCTGCACTGTTCATTGTATTTGTCCTCCTTTATGAGGCACTAGGCTCGTAGAGCAGATTTATTTTATTTATTTATTTTTTGCTGGGCTGCAGCACAATATCCACTCATCAAAAATGCATCACTGTCTGATCTAACAGATGATTGGCTAAGAGTGATGGCGTGTCAGATAAAGATCTGTTGTCATTGGTTACATAAGTAAACAAGGATCAGAATTACTGATGCTAGGTATTAAAGTTAGCGTCCTGTAAAAACCAGGACGTCGTTTAACCCAGAATGGAGAAAAAAAACGAGAATTTATGACCAAAGGTAGTGGAGATTCATTCCATGGTTTTTGCCACTTTGTCGATGCGATGTGGGCGTAAGCAGTGGAGGAAAAGCTGCAATTGAACGGCGTGCGAGTACGGATTAACATAAAAGTAATAAACGTGCAGCAGCAAACTCTTCAATGTTTGCTTTTACATTAAGTTTTGTCGCCCCTGGATGCTAAAATAACTTGTGCAGAGCTGCAAGGTGGACTATACTATAAAACATCACTAGTCCTACGAAAGTGTAGACTGTGATGTGAAAGTGGATTTTAGTGATTGGCCCATAGCTAAAGGGATGATCATACAGACAGGTCTGCTGCACACACAGACACTTAACATAGGTTCCTAAAAGACTGAGACTCTTAAAAACAAAGCTATACTTTTAGAGCAGTTGAATGTATGTTTTCTACAATCTCCTTTTGTTGTTTAACAAATATATTAGGCTATTTTATTATGAATGTTTCTTGTTAAAAATATATTTATTTATTTTTTTTATTTAAGTCCACACATCTTATGCTTTGTGGTATTCTGCACTTTAAAGATTCATCTCAGTGGTCACTTTTTAAACACCACAATGTATTAAATAAATACAAATGCTGGGAACCAATTCTTTTTTACATCTCTTTAATATTTTGTTCTATTCAGCCACACAAGCATCCTCTTTAAACTATTAAGAATTGTACTATAAATGTGACTTTACCCGATTCTTATGTACACCTTTTTATTTATTTATTCATTTTTTGATATGCCGCATAATTGTCCTCCTTTTTGGTGCTATAGAAATGGCCTAATGACTAAATGTGAGATTAAATGTGTAATTTAGGCTGGAACTTATTGGCTTATTGAAAAGAACAACCCGTTGTTTTTCAAACCATGTCTGTGCCTATTGGCCAACGCTCTGACCAATTAGCGCAACTGACTGTGACATAGGAAGCGCGACAGAAAGCTGGTGGGGGAGTGTAAACAAACAGCCCGTCAGTAAAACGGCAAATACGTCCTTCTTAAAAATGAATGAGCGTAGAGCATCTTCCTGCTCACGTTTCAACCTAAACCCCAAGTCTAATCCTTCCGGAACTGATTCCAAAGCTGAGTCAAACGAGAACTGTTCAATAGTTGTTGCTATCTTCCTTGTTGTGCTTTCTCCAGCGTTGCACAGCTTTTCCCTCAAAACCCCGCCCACTTTGCATCCAAAAATTCAAAACACATCTCCCCGTTGTGATTGGCCTGCCATTTCTGGGGCCTGGGGCATTGAACGAGGCTAGACCAATCACAGGCAAAAATTATTTTGTGTGGGGCTAGTTTACTAGGCCAGATGTTTTATTGATTACAGCTGAAGTAAATTCATGTGTTCTCATTATTATTACTTATGTGTGGTTAACCATCCCTATCAATTTGAATCAGCTTGCAGTTAAAAATGGCGAAGTTTTAGATTCTGGGCCATGATATTGATGTGCCAGAAGCACAGTTTACTCATTAAGTCATCATAAATATTGTTTATATTGAAAGATGTCATCCTTTCTTTCAAACATTCCCCTAAAAGTTGTTCTCATTTCTCCTAAATTTCAGTTTGTTATCTCTACTTTATTATTTCTGACCTTTGAACTTTTAGATGATTGTCTCTCATCACCATTTTCAAGCAATGTGAAAATGTGGTTTCAGGTTGTCAACCACATTAATTATATTCAACTGAATTCAGTTTATTTATATAGCGCCAATTCAAAACACATGTCATCTCAAGACACTTTACAGTTCAACCAGATCATCCAGTCAGATTGATTCAAAGTTTTCTATCTAAGGAAAACCAGTTGATTGCATCGACTCATTGAGTCGAATGCAATCCCTCACACTAAGCATGCTTGTAGCGACAGTGGAGAGGAAAAACTCCCTTTTAACAGGAAGAAATCTCCAGCAGAACCAGACTCAGTGTGAGCGGCCATCTGCTGAGGCCCACTGGGGTTCAAAGAGACAGAAGCAGAGACACAAAAGCAGCTGCAAAAAGGGCGGCCCGTCCAGGAAACACACAGCCAGGCAGACGAGCTCCGAGCCATCTCCCATGTCAGAGGATGAAGAGAGCACATCCAGCCAGTCACAGTCAGAGAAACAGGACTACACTGGAAAACAGGCCAAGCTCCAACATCTATAAACAAAGGTGTTGATGGCAGCAGCACAGCTGATATTTCTCTCCAGGATGGAGTCACAGCCAAACAGGAACAGACCAGATGAAGCTACTATGAGAAAAAGCAACTACTACTAGATAAAGCAACTATACTAACTCAAACTGACCAGACTGTTTATTCAAAAAAAAAAGCAGTGATGTTATATATAGTAAAGATATAGTGATATAGTCAAACATCTATAAGTAATCAGTCACTTCAATAGTTTAAGAATACCCCACCCCATTGTGTATAGTAAATCTCGTCAGTTCATTTATGCTTTGCATCCGGGTCCTAATGGATGACACTCCATCACCCCATCATTGCCAATGGCCTGTTCTGTGCCTTCCTGTGTGAGACAGAGGGCATCCTGTCATTCTCCTTAGTATATCAGCAGCTGCACACCATTCCTCCTGATGAAGTCCAGGTGTAAAATCAGTCTCTGTCCCCTCTGCAATGCAATCCTTCCTGTGGCTCAAGGAAGAAAGTGTCCAATGTCTCTCCAAACAAAGTCAATAGTTCATTTTGTCTGACACAAATATTGTCCTTCCACAGTGTAACTGACAATATTATAATATCTTCTTTTTTTATGAAGCGTAAGTTGTTAGTAAACAAACAAAAAAGACAAAAAATACAAACAAAAACAACAAAAAAATGTGTTGGGATATATTGCCACAATGGAGCCCAAATCAAATGGATGAACCGTCTAAAACCATCCCCTTTTCCTTTTTCACAAAGAACACAAAATATTCTCAGGAAAGTTCTGAAACTTTTGGCCGTAGGGGCGGTCAGCTCACGCATGGACCAATCAGCTGATTGAGGAGGCTGATACTTCATTAATGAGGTGCTGCGCTGGGCGAGTGACAGGTGGTCAGCGATTTAAATTAATGCTGACTTTAATCTGTGTTGGTTATAAGAGCTCTGGCTCGTTGGTTGAAATAAGTGTGCTGTGAAAGCTGCAAGTGATATTTCTTTCTTCTTCTCTTTCCTATCCTGTTTTCTATTAGGATTCCAGTTTGTGTTGGTTGTTTTTGTGTTTTCTTTTGTTCTCCCTTTGCACCACTAACCACTGAGCAGCGGGCTGTCAATACCTCGACGCCAGAGTGTTTGCCAATATTAGGTACTCTAGCCAAACTGAGATTAACTGAGTCTAATTATTGCTTTGTCTCTCTCTGAGCCTAAGCTTTGCCTTTATCTTTGTTCTCCTGTAGGATGCCTTCCTGATCCACTGGATAAGCCTGGACCTTCTACCCCGCCTGGAAGGAATTATTTGAGTCCCACTGAGCAAGGGGAAACCTCTACCAGATCCGTTCAAGTCTGCTTCAGAAAAACCCGGTGACAGTCCGCTCCATTGCTCCTCTGGACCCAACGCTAGTCTGCCTGTCCGCCCTCCAACAAGTTCATTCATATCTGGACAAAACTCCACAAACTGGATCCTAAGGAAAACCAAGAGCCCCTCAAATGTGAGTCCCATTCCTGCATATTACAAGTCATATTTCCTACGGGCCTTGAACTGATCATTGTGATCTCCCCTTCAGAGTTTCCGGTTCCGGTTCACCAGTCCGCTGAGGTTCAACTGAGTTTACCCTGCTGTATAACCTCTCACTCTGTTTTTGTTAACCTACAAATAAACCAGTTAACTTTTACCTTTTCATCACATGAAGAGGGAGGTCTCTCATACAATTATTTTTGCCTGTGATTGGTCTGATTCTATTGTATGACATTTAAATTCATCAAACAGATCAGTCTAATCTATGATATTATTTGAACCCTATTTTAAATATTACATATCCAGTTGTTTGTTTCATTCCCTCTTATTTGTTCAAAGAATTAAATTCAATTCTAACTCTTATCATTCAACTGTTCTGTTATCATTCATCCGAACCCTGTTACAGTCAACCTATTTACTTGCTACACTGTTATACTTTTTCTTATAAAGAACACATATAGACTGTTTGCTGAGGACAAGTAGAAAACATTAAATCAGTATCTAATGTTTATGTAATGTGTATTTTCAGCTACACAGTAAACTCCACAGCATTAAATATTTAGTGTCAAAGTACATTGACTGTTTTAGAGTAATTACAACAGCTTGAGTAAAATATAGTACTATTTATTTTCATTCTTGTAAATATTGTTAAACCTATGAACTATTCTTTACAAACCCATTGAGCTTTGCGTTTTAAGTTTTTACTGAAATTCTCATAACTATGCATCTACATGTGAAGAATGTGTTTCAAATAAAATGTCTGCATTTGCAAAGAAACTTAAGATATTAGGTGTGTAAGACAGGTTTAACACAGTTTGTTAAATTTTGACAATAGTTATATTATTTATTGTTCTTAGTTTCCCACCCTGGATTAGGTTAATTCAACATGATTCTTTATAGATGCATGTTTCAGCAAATATGGTAGCAAGATTTGAAAGAAAAAAGTGTGGCCTGGCGTCACGTTTTGCAAAATTTAAAGGAAACTTAAGTTGTTGATTTCATGATTCACTTTTCTCTAGATTTCGTGAAAATGGTCAAGTCCTGAGTATTACAAACAGAACAAGCTATCTAGAATTTTCCCAACCTGGAGTTTCTGATAGTAGCTTTTTTTCCAAGGAATTTTTTATGCTTTTCATGTATCTCATTATTATTAACTGTTATTTCTTAAACACCACCTTTCAAAGTGTCTTTTCTTGTGGTGCATGGTTTCTTGGCTTTAGAAATTCCCCTTGTCTGTGATAAAGAATGATATAAATAAAGATCAAGTGACATATATCTATATATATGAGCAGAGTTTTTATTCATTTAATTATTCACTGATTAAATTTTCACACAAGCTTACAGTATCTGAGCCAGTCTGATGGGGCTGCAGCCTGACCCAGAGACAACAGGCAAATTCTAGTCTAGATCAACATCAAGACACACAGTAGCAGGACTGATAACCTTGTAGATTGTCAAACAGACCATTAGACAGAGGCTGTTTCAAACATTATGTAAGAATATACTATAGTTTCTTAGACATTTATATGCATTTAAGGTTTTTTTTTTTTTTTTTTTTTCACTGAAGTGATAATATATTGCTCATCTGTAATTTCCTTCTTGGATTATTAAAGTATGTCTGATTCTGATAGGTTATAAATGATTTTAATTAAAACTGAATATTTTACTAATTATAAAATGATTGACTCCATGTGAAGACAGGCCAAAACTTAATCATGATCCCATATTTCTTAAATGGCTTTACATAAAAACACACGTGAATTTGCAAAAAAACAGCAAATTTAGTCATATTTTCATACCTAGGACAGTTTTTGGTAATTTACATTCATTTGAAAGATCTCATCCAGTAGACTATTGCATTTATTTTAAAATAAAGTAAAAATAAGAAAATACAGCAGGGTAACAATATTGTATTCATTGTTTTAATTCGACCTCTGTATGTTGATGACATAACAAGACATGAAGCAATCTAATAAATTTGCTTTTTTTAAATATTGTTTTCAGCACATCAACTAAGCAATTGGTTCTGTTGTTGCTTCCAATCCCATCTGTGCAATCTTTTACATGTCTGATGGCTGTTTGAGGCATTCAACCATCCTAAAGTTGAAAAATTGAGGTTCTTTATCAGAGGCTCCAAGAATTTATGTCATACTACATGGGATCTCCTCTTACAGTATTTTGACTGTTTAAATCTTCAAGATACAGAAAATGACTAAATGTCTAACCTTTAAAAAAAAATATTTTTCTTTTTTTTTAGGTTTGGCCTGTGGGTGAGGTGGGTTTTGACAGATTAGTTTTGACAAGCAGGAAAACAAGCTGATTGCATCACCTCATTGATTCTTCAGCAATCCCTCACACGCAGCATGCTTGTAGCGACTGTGGAGAGGAAAAACTACATTTTAACAGGAAGAAACCTCCAGCAGAACCAAGCTCAGTGTGAGCGGCCATCTGCTGAGGCCGACTGGGGTTCAAGGAGACAGAAGCAGAGACACAAAAAGAAGCAGAGATACAAAGGTAATTGTAAACCGGCACCACAGGCGGCCCCGTTCAGGAAACACACAGCTGGGCAGACCAGCTCCGAGCAAGCTTACATGTCAAAGGATTAAAGAGAGCACATCCTGTAAGTCACAGTCAGAGAAACAGGACTACCATGAAAAACAGGTTATAAACAAGGGTGTTGATGGCAGCAGCAAAGCTGATGTTTCTTCCAGGATGGAGTCACAGCCAAACAGGAACAGACAAGATGAAACTACTATGAGAAAAAGCAGAGAGAGCAGAACGTTAGAGATTGAACTAACAAGTTATGCATAATGGGAGAATAGAGACCAAATGAAGCAGAATGATTAAATGCGAGTCCCTATGTCCTCCGGCAGTCTAAGCCTACAGCAGCATGACTATAGAGATAGCTCAGGATAACCTGAGCCACTCTAACTATAAGCTTTATCAAAAAGGAAAGTTTTAAGCCTAGCCTTAAAAGTAGACAGGGTGTCTGCCTCACGGACTAAAACTGGTAGTTGGTTCCACAGGAGAGGAGCCTGATAACTAAAAGATCTGCCTCCCATTCTACTTTTAGAAATTCTAGGAACCACTAGTAAACCTGCAGATTGAGAGCGAAGTGCTCTGTTAGGAACATAAGGAACAATCAGATCTCTGATATCAGATGGAGCTTGGCCATTTAAGGCTTTATATGTGAGAAGGAGGATTTTAAATTCTATTCTGGATTTAACAGGAAGCCAATGAAGAGAAGCCAGGATAGGAGAGATATGATCTCTTTTTTTCATTTTCATCAGAACTCTGGCTGCAGCATTTTGGATCAGCTGAAGGCTTTTAACTACAGTTTGTGGACTTCCTGATAGTAAAGAATTACAATAGTCCAGCCTTGAAGTAACAAATGCATGGACTAGGTCCATAAATAGATCTTCCAGAAATATCTTTCTTTAGAAATTGCTAGGATTGCTGAGCAGTATGAAGGAAGACGTTGATTGATTTGGACATGGTTTCTGGTGCATTTATATCACATGTTAGCTGAAGAGATCCAACCTTATGCTTTTGAGCCAGACTTTGATTTTAATAACCTCTGATCCCTGATTAAAGCTGCAGTGGATGGAGAAGCTGAATCAAACTGCAATGATGAGAATGATAGAAAAAACTTGAACTGCTGCTAATTACTACTGCTAGAAAATGGAACTTGATCATCTTCTGTGTGAATTACGTCCAAAAATATAGCCTGTGTTATCACTATAGAGATGCGATTTCCCAGTACATGATGTACTTTAATCAGAATATATGTTCTCTCGAAAGTTGAGCTGAAAAGTTGCCATTATTGAAACCAGACAACAGGTTTCTTTAAATAGTTTGATTAAAAACATGGACATTTTCTCATCAATCTTTTTCATGTGCTTTATTGTTGCCAAATTATTGCACTGCTCTTACATCCATACTTACGGTATATGTAGACATGTAACCCCATACTTCCCACCTGCCTCGCGTTCCCTTGCATTAAATGGAGGTTCATAGTAAAAGCATTTATGTAACTTATCTCAATAAGTATAACTATTTGCTAAATCTGAATTTTAAGCCTATATGAAAAGTGAAAAGCCCTTTGGGAAACTCCTCCAACTCCCATTGTCATTGTGACACAGCACACACAAGTGAACACTGCACACCATGAAGTTGCATTTATGCCTCACACGTGCAAGGGGGCAGCCCTCAATGGCACCCCAAGGGAGCAGTGTGGCAGGACGGTACCATGCTCAGGTTACCTCAGTCATGGAGGAGGATGGGGGAGAGCGCTTGTTAATTACTCCACCCACCAACCTGGCAGGTCGGGAGTCGAACCGGTAACCTTTGGGATCCAAGTCTGACACCGTAACCGCTCACCACGACTGCCCTATTCATTCTAACACAGATTCAAGCTTAGAACATTACTTTAGACTAATAGGAAAAAATAATTAATATAGAAACATGTTTTTATGCTTACTTTAGTGTTGTTATTTTAAAAAGTTACTTTTAACCTGACAATTGAGCCTAATTGAAATGCATATTCTGATTAATTGAAAATTAATATAAGCTCCTGTTGAATAGTTATTTCAACTAAATATACTTATAGAGTGGGTACTCAGACCCCTTTAAAATGTTCATTCTTTGTTTCATTTTAGCCATTTGTTAAAATCAATAAAATTCATTTTATTTCTCATTAATGTACACTCAGCACCCCATGTTGACAGAAAAAAAGACAAAAATGTAAAAAAATCTTTGCCAATTTATTAAAAAAGAAAAACTGAAATACCAGATCGTCATAAGCATCCAGACCCTTTGCTGATTAATGAGTAGAAGCACCTTTTTGAGCTAGTGCATTTATGAGTCTTCCTGGGAATAATGCAAAAAGTTTTTCACACCTGGATCCTCTGCCATTCTTCCTTGCAGATCCTCTCCATTTCTGTCAGGTTGGATGGTCAGCGCTGGAGGACGGCCATTTTCAGGTCTCTACAGAGAAGCTCATTTAGGTTTAGATCAGGGCTCTGGCTGGGCCAGTTAAGAATGGTCACAGAGTTGTTTCCAAGCCACTCCTTTATTATTTTAGCTGTGTGTTTAGGGTCATTGTCTTATGATGCTGCCATGTTTCACTGTTGGGGTTTTATTGGGCAGGTGATTAGC